ATTGGGCCAAATAGAAAATGCCCAAAGCTAAAAGCCTGCAAAGCACTAAAAAAATTTGTGAATACACAGGTAAAACCGCTCAGAGTCACTTTTTAAATATAAAGTCTGAAAGCGCCAATAAGTATGAATACTTTGAGTTACCTACTAGAGCTCTGATATTACTCTCACTTCAATTGCTGCAGGCTTGTTCTGAGCCATAGATTGCATAAATATTGAAGGCAATTACAGCCAGGCAGCTGGCATTTTCAGCAGGAGCTCAGCAATGATTCCCGTTTTGGCTTAGTAACTGGTCGGACAAGAAAAGCAATGTAAAATGGATGATTTTTTTAATGCAAGTTTCTTTTTTTCAACCAAAAACATCATACCATACTCCTTTTGCACAGTACAGAATTAGCAAGTGTAGCTTTGAAAACAAATTTCATTAAGCAAGTGTCCTTTTTTTCAAATTGCCCATTTCTTCATATTGTCCAGAGGCCACCACTTAGTGAGGAAGAGTTGGAAATTGTTTTGCCTCCCTACAGTAAATATAGATATACAGTATATTTACAGAACTTGATACCCTATACTACACAATACTATCATTACACAAAAGATAACCGAAAACTAATACATATATCATTTTTTTATTGCAGTGCATTATTTCCTAATTTATTAAACGGATCTGTTCAACTTACCCCAAGCATGTTATATTATTTATTTGTGCAGTATTTAAACAACTTCACAAGGATTTTGGCGTACATGTTTTGGCTCCTATAAATACTGCTAGCTTCTGACTGGTGTTAATAGTTTCTATAATGTGTCTATTTAGGAGAGTTGTAAAATGAGTGATTTGAGCTACTGAAAAAAATAGTGAGAAATGAGAAACACAGTCTTCCAACAGCTGTTCATTTTATGGGCCATAGTAACAATTCCACATCAATTCAATATATTTATTATTGTGAATTGAAGATGTTCATGTGAAAATGATCATTAGGTAAAACAACAAATACATGTTAAACAATGTATACGGCTTTGTAAATCTATGTTAGTGCAGTTAATTAACTACACTTTATTATATTCTTGTTTAAAATTTGCTGTCTAAGTTTATAATCTGTTAAATCTACATACAAACAAGTAACAGGTTCAGCATTTGCAGGATTTTAAAAATGCATGGACTATAGTGAGTTAACTGTGCATTTGGTATAGGTATCCTTTAACTGAGGTCCTCCCCCCATCACTCCCTCCCCACCTAGGTATCACTATTGCCTCAAACTGACAGATCCCCAGTAAGAAGGTAATGTAAACCATATTTGGTCAATGACATCACCCAGGATCACTGGTCTGTTTATTTACATACATCATTACCCTTATTCCGTAAGCATGGGGCTTTAAATGCGCCAATGAGTCTTAAGTTACTTAAAAACATATAATTTATTAAGTCCACAAATCAAATAAATGAATCACAAACATTAAGATTAATGGTTGTGCTTGGCTTTACATTTCCCCATGTTACAGAAGTACTTCCTTAAAGGAGAACTATGAGGTAAGTGTTTTTCCCCATAGTTCTCCTCAGGGTCACGGGAGGACATAAACTAGCGTCCTCCCGCGACCCAAAGCTCAGTATACCGCGAGCTACAGCTCGCGGTATACTGAGACCGCCGGGACGGATCCCGACATTAATGTCGAGATCCACCCAGCTGCGTGATTGACAGCTGGCTCTGCCTATGTAGAGGCAGAGCCAGCTGTACCCGCCCCCTCCACTGTTCGTTCCTCCAGTCAGCTCTGGAGGATCGGAGCAGGGAGGTGGGGGAATCCCTGCAGGGAGCCGTAAGTAACAGTCATGGCTCTCTGCAGGGACAGGATCAAGAAGTGAGAGAGTGACGGTATGTGTTCGCTTACTTCCCGATCTATTGAGCCGACATGTGACAGTTTCATTGTGACACGTTGGCTCGAACTATGAGGTTGAGTGAAAATCACTCACCTCATAGTTCCCCTTCAAGTAATTGCTATATACCATACTTTGTACAAACATAGATGCTTAACAACAACAGTTTCTTTCCCCTCAAGGGTCTTTGTTTTCATCAAGCGATTAATTGCAATGGCCCTGTTCAACGTGTTTTGCACTTTGTTTGTTCAGCAAAGGAGGTGTTCTACAATATCATATACAAATGCAATAAATATACTAAATAATCTAAAAATATTTATATGTGAACAATTTGTGCCCTAAATTTTACACACTTAATGGAGCTGTTAGCTGAGTAACGTACACAAAGCGGAAATACCCTAGTGGTGAGGACCACAGGGAGATACAAATAGAGGTAGACTCGACCCCTAAGATACTATTGGGAATCATAAAATACATAATTATAGTATTACTTACCGTATGTGGAAATCATATCACTATGAAATACTAAAGTTACACTGGTAGTTCCTACCTTCTGAGTGATACTATAAACTGCTGATGGTTTATAATCAGAATGCTCATGTTTCTCCCTGCAGTCCCCACCACCGAGGGATTTCCCTTTTTTCCCCACCACCTGGTGTGCATTAATCAGCTTACAGCTCCATTAAGTAAGTGTGTAAAATTTGAGTCACAAATTGTACATATTTGAATATGTTTGGATTATATATTGTATATTGAATTGTAAATGTCATAGGGTTTCCCTTAAAAATTCATACCCTTGTGTGGAACTTTGAAACAGACTCCACTTAAATAGTGGTACCTATGGGCACCATCTAGCCTTACCTTTACCCTATGTTAAGTCTGGTTCAGGTTTTGTACACTAGTAATTTGTGTCAAATACGACTATAAGTGGAACTTTGCACATTATCTTTGTTCTCACATTACTTTAACAAAAAACAGTAACAGTAATACAGCAATTCTGACATTTTTTTCAGATAAAGAAATATTGTTAGTCATTTGTGGCAGTTCTCATTTCTTGTGTATCTTGTTCTCCATCATGTGCTTTGTTCATGTTCTCTTGCAGTCACTGCTTACTCTCTGGAAGTTAATAATTGCATGTGTTACATTATGTGAAGATAACTTTATGCTAGCAATCCTGTTAGGAAAGAATTATGGGGCTACTATAGATGATTTGCTTCTGAAATGCTAGTTCCCTGGTTTGTATGCTCACCCATCTTTAAGTATGTAGATTGGTAAGGTCGGTGTCAGGTCAGAAGTCCTTATTATCATACCTGCTCTTGGTAAGTGACCAAGAGTATTCATAAGATAGTAGGAATGGCAACCAGGCAACTTGCATTTTCAGGTGAAGATGTTAGCAACCGCAGCATTCATGCTTCTGTCATTATAGCTTTCTTTTAACATAATTTCCATCATATTGTCAGTTACTGATCCACTTGCACATGCATGGCTATATTGTTTTCTGATTGCAAGGGTCGTAAGCTCTCCTTTAGAAAAACAGTAAACTGCATGACTTTGACTCCTTTTTGTATTTAATTCCATGCTGTTTTGATTCATTACAGCTTCACGGTAGTGATATTAGAGCCATATGTTGAATATTCTTTGCATTGTGATAATATGATAATGAAATCATATTGTTATGCATTATGACAATATTACAACAATATATGGATTTATTTCATGAGGGGAGAGGAACCACAAGGATCAAATTAAAACACTTTGCTTAATATCCTTCTTTGTGGAAATCATCTGTAGCAAGATGTCTTTGTGTTGGTATGTACATCAGAGGTTTACTGTAGCTACCATATCTAACGGCAGTCTTTAAATATGGTGCTTATTATCATTACTGTGATCCATACATTGAAATAACTTCTCGTTACAACCCATTGATTCCGCCCGTTCTACAAGTGCCATACTACAATCAAATGCATTTTTATATTACTTTAGCATAATTCAGGCTGACTTTTTTTATTTCAATCCATATGACAGTTTATACAATCCCATCTGGGCAGTAAAACTGTTAAGTGAAATGTTAATGGCTGTCTTTAAAATAGAATTATTTTACATCTATTTTTCTTTCTTAAGTTATGAGCCCTGACTTCATCGTAAACAGTACACTAAAACATAACAGTTTAATTTGACCACAAATTAAGTTTTATGAAGGGGACTCTTGGCTGTTCTATGTGTGTGCAGGATTCTAACTAGTTAATAAAGCATTTGGCAAGGTAAAAAAGTGTGACAGAACTAAGTAAATATTTGCGAAAGCCTATCCTTGACATAAGATGCCATTTCCATGGTTTTTTTTTTCATTCTACAGACAGAGTTATTTGTCCATTCGTTCAAGGACCAGCTTGTAAGTAATGCTCTTCTGGCACTGTACACTGCTCGGCCAGGCTGTGCAAATAAAAAGCTCACAGACCCAAGAATAAGCACTGATGAGAATGATCTTCAGGGTCAGGAGTCTGTGAATCCTATATCAAGGCAAGATTCTATACCTCACCACTCTGAATATGATGAGGAGGAATGGGTAAGTACCTCTCATTCATCATACTATACTGGCAATGAAATAGGGACTTTAAGTCAAAGTTGTACCTTTTGTTGACGTGTTATAATCTGTGATAATAAAGAATCCAAGACTTGCGAACAGCATTACATACTTGTGCCTATGCTGGCATGTCTGCCCTGAGATGTACCCGTAGAACTTGCCACCCCATATATAACCCTAATGAGTGCAAACTTGAAAAACAGTTATTTGCACCACTTTAGACATCTTACCCTATTTAGGGACTTAAAGTTTATCTACACCCAAGAATGAAATGTAATATGTAAAATGTAATAATTGACAACGCTTACTCACTGTACTGTATCTATGGAGGAGCAGAGTTGTCACCCTAGGGAAGAAGTATGTACAAATCACCTCTCCCCTTCCTCATCTCCAAATTATGGGGGGTGGGGTGTCTGTAGTTCTTGAGATAAGAATACTTGAGATAAGACTGCAGAACTCCCAGAGCACAGGACAGCATTGGATTTCTGGCTGGATCTACAGGTATTTTTTGTGCTTATCAAACAGATGTGAGAAATGCTTTCACTGGTATATTTAACAAACCAAAAGGAAATAAATATGAGAAGTTCATTGTTAAGTTTATTAGTCATTGCAAAGTCAAAAATAGGGATGTGCCGAACACCCCCGTGTTCGGTTCTAATTCGAACTTTCGAACATGGAAAAAGTTCTAATTCGAACTTAGAACTCAATGTAAGTCTATGGGGGTAGAACTCAGAAAATTTAATGTCCCCATTTTGAAGCCTTATATGCAATTTTTTGGCCATAAAAAGTGTATGGGGATCCAGGTAGTTCACTGAATGACAGGAATCAATGAAATTTAAGAAAAAGTTTTTAAAGGAACAGGAACAGAAGTCTGATATATACAGAATAAATCTATATATATAATAATATATATTATATACAGAACTCTGATATACACTGAGTGGCCAGATTATTATGACCACCTGATCAGTACTTCGTTGGGCACTGGTACAGTCTTGGAGGGCGCAGTGCATTGTGGGATGTTCTGCGGTCGAACAGACCGTGAACATCCAGCAATGTTCGGCGTTCAGCGAACACTAGAACAGGCTACGTTCGAGTCGAACATGCAGCCCATCCCTACTCCCTAACTCATTTCCCTCACTGTTATCTATTATTATTGACCCTAATTAACAATAGACCCCTCACAAACCACCTTTACCACCAGGATCAACAAACACCTACACACACTTTTATTCAGTATAGGAAGACAATTGGGGTATCTAGAAGTCAAACTTTATACGACCACTGTTGTTTAATTGCCTGTGGCTATTGGGCAGGTTGAAATTTTAACAGATTTTCTGTTTATTCCATGTTTGTACAGAAAAAAAGGGATTGCATACATAATGTACATACATTCATACATGCTCACAGGTTCAGAAACATACATGTATATGTAAATGTCAGAACAAAGATCTCATTTTTGTTGCAGCATCCTATGGCTGTCTTAGGTCTGTGGACTGCCAATAAGACATTTTCATTCAGTAAATGGTTAACATGTTTAGAAAGTCAAAAGCAAACTGAATTGTAAGCTGAAAAGATAACTGTTCAATTCCATAATAATTGGGAAAACTAATATTACCTCAGAGGAACATTGTTTTAAAGACCAGCATGAATATTGCTAGACTAATTTTAGTGGTGGTAATTGAAGTTGGTGAGAGCTTCTGATGTGAAGGTAAACCACACAAGGAGATTTCCTCCCTCTGCAAGGCTTTAATAGCTCTTATGTTGTGCATCTGGTTGACACACATTTTTTGTAATAAAATTATCCCAGTTAAGTGACAGTTTTATTTATATCCCTATATTTAAAGAATCATTTTTGTTTATGCTGTGAATCCTAGTGTTATTACATATGTTACAGCAGTTTTTAGTAAGGCAATTCTTATTACTGTCCCCTTTTTATAGACCTGTCTAGCAACATCATTCATTATGTACAAATCTGGATCAAATCCTTCAAGTCTTCTTGTAAATTACAGCAAGACGGCAATAACTATAAACTGATGCAATTATTTTGTTATCCTACCATATTTGTAGCTCTACCTGGACTTGCCTTTTTTTTTTTTATTTAATATCTCTCAATATATCTGTGTTGGTAAGTTGTCAACACCCACATACAATATTCCAGGTGAGGCATGACTTAAGTGGTGTACTGAAAATCATTATCTCTCACCTTCTGGTAATAATCCCTTTGCTGATGCATCCAAAAATTCTGCTAGGACTGCCAACTGTCTGCATATATTGTTTACTCATTTTGAAGTTCCCTGAAATAAAAACCCTCTAGTCTATCTCTTTATAATCTCTAGGCAATCTTGTACCTCCAGTGCTATGAACTAGCATTTTTTTCCCTTTGAAATCCAAAATTTCCAATTTCAGTATTAAATATATTTGTGCCATCAGCAAACAGACATGGCCTATCTCCAAAGCCTTTTGCTATGTCACTTACAGGCAAGTTAAAATGGTAAAGGGCAGAGCCCAGTGGCATGTCACCTGTAACTTGACTTGGTTTATGGTGATGCTCTATGCTGTGGAGTATAGTTTCTATCAGATTATAACATAACTCTTGTTATCTAGTCTTCAGCCAGCTGCCTACATACTGAAAAATCTAATTAGAGCTGATCATACACAGTGGACTTGTGCAGCAGTTTCAGTTTATATGGCAGGAAAAGAATACATGATGATAACCAACGACACCACTGCTGTGATCTGCTGAATTGTAAATTCTCTTTGACACTTCATTGTTCTCTGATGATTTAGCAGAGATAAGTGCTGTATTGATACCTGTGAGAAGATGACATGCATTTCAGACAAATTAGGGATTTCCGTAGGAAGTGATGAATCAAACAACGTACAATTTTATATATATATGCACGTCCATCTTTAAAAAAAAAGACTAATTAAAAATTTAATAAAACACCACCTTTCTTTTTGTACAGTGATTTAATTACAGCAATAATTATTTCTCCCTCTCCATGGCTTGGCAGTCTTCTGAGCTTTAGCCAGCTAGGGAGGTTTAAAGAGTATGAAAACCCTAAAAATGGTCTTCTCTTATTTACTCAATTCTAGTCTGTAAAATATACCAATGAAAGTGTTTTGTGCTGTTTAATAAGTGCATAAATACCTATTGATTCTGCCAGGAATCAAGTGTTGTCCTCTGTCCCGTGCACTCTGCAGTGTTATCTGAAGCAATGTTATTAGCCCTATCAGTTCAGTCATGCGAACTACAGAACTCCTCCCCTATGTGGGGTTGTAGTCTTATCACACCTCCTGTACAGTACAGTCCTCAGTACAATGAGATAGCATTGTCACCCTAGGACAGGAAGGATTAACAGGTAAAAGAAAACTGATGCAGCCTCTAGAATCTGGCAAGCTGAATTATATATATTTTTGTTCTTGGGTTTAGATGCCCTTTTTTCACTGTTTATCAGGAAGGGCTGGTGGGATTCTTGATTTTGTAAGGAACTGTCTGAACTGCTGTGCTTAAGTGTGGGTAAGAGTATTCTGCAGCCACACTTTTCGCCAATACTTCCTAAAAGTCAAGTGTGTGTGCTTCCTAAAAGTCAAGTGTTTAATATTATAATGTAGGATCAATTGTTGAAAAAGAATGTTATTCAATACATTCTATCAGGAGTTCATCTGAAACAGCTCTTGACCTTACCAAAAAGTAACAGTGCCATATTATATTGTTTTCTGCCACTGGTATTCTTCAGTTACAGTTCTTTCTTAGCCGTTCCCTCTTTTCTATTTTATTGTTCAGCAAGACAGTTCAGTCAATGTGACTGACCCACTTGTGCTTCATTAAGCAGTGATAGCCCTAAACCTTGCCTGTTCCAGATCCCCAATGGCTAGTGCAGGCTACCAAAGCTCTAAATTATACACTACAAATAACCTAGAAATCAATTCTTCTCCAGACTCTAATGAGCTGCCATCTTTAACTTGTGTTTCCGAATTATTTACAGTCCTGAACCTTGTGTAAAACCAAAGCACCTACGCAAGATTCTGGGAACGGGAATTCTAATGAGGCTTTAATTTTATATGAAATGCTGTTACAATTCTATTCTTTTTGTATATGGCTGCTACAAGTTCAATTATAGGTGTTCCCATAACAGAACATGTACGGTTTTCATATTACTGTTCCTGCAAACGTATTCTGTTGCTTTTCTAGCATTATTACAGTAACACAAATGGACAGTGTTAAAGCAGCCTGGTAGTTTAAAGTAGCAAGCAAGACATGCAACCATTAACCATATTTTACCGTTTGTTCATTTCTCTGTACATGCCACTTTGTATGTGCAGATATCAATGACGGGCAGTGCAGCCACTATGCTCTATACAGTCAACTGCCTGCCCAGACTAGTAGTGATGATTCTAGGATGTGATAAAAGATAGGTGGTACACATATTATCCAATATGGCATCTTATCACGAGGCACTTAAGGTTAAGAACGCTGACATTAAAAAAGATTAGGCAACAATACCCAAATATCAAAAACCTATAACATTTTCAGAATTTGACAACCCTTCCTGGGGGAAGAAACATACATGTTATGGAGTTTTACATCTTTAGCTGCCAAATACATGGAATCAAGTTTCATTTTTTTTTCCTGTGGGTAACCAGTCATCTACAGTGTAGGTTTTGTTTTGCTAAGCTATCACAAAAATAATTTTCCCTAACAACTGTTAGTTTCAGCAGTAAAAACAAGTGACACTGAAATAAATATTATGGCTAAAAAAAGGGCATTTTTTTAAAGCAGTGAATGTGACATTCACCAAACATTTACATTTAATTGTTTATATGGCAAATAACCCATGCATTTTAGCTTTACAGTTTGAGCTTGTTGTCACATGAGTTAGTCTTCTTCAAAAAGTAAGACCTGAACTCTGTCGATGCAATGAAAGCTTGGAGAGCATGTTATCTAATCTCTCATTGTAATAAAGTAATTAGTAAACAATTAGTCTTTTCAGAGGCTCTTCATTAGATTGTTATCTGCTTTTATGTTTTAATAGGATTCTGGGGAGTGATAGGTGCTGAATAACTTTCTGGTTGCTTAAGAGTTAATATTATTTAATATTAGGGATGCACCAATAGAGATACTGGTATCAGTATAGGTGCCAATACTGAGCATTTGGGAGAGTATGCTCCAATACTTACACAGATACTGGAACTTCGGGCCAGAGGGAGATTCCCTCTGACCGGCAGTGCCGCGAGGCAGCATGGAGCCAGCTTCCAGGCCAATCAGGAAGCCGGACAGCCAATCATGACCTGTCTCTCGATTTCCTGATTGGCTAAGAAGCCAGCTTCATGCTGCCAAGCGACACTGCGAGTCAGGCTTGGTTCCTGATCGTCAGGAAGCCAGGCTGCCTCACAGTGTTGCGAGGCAGCGTGAAGCCGATGTGCTTACGATAGAACACCAGCTTCCCAGGCAATCAGATCCTGATTACCCGAGCCCACGCTACCTCGGGATGCCAGTACCGATATTCGGTATCGGCAAGTACCGGAAAAAAAATATTGGTACTCAATGCTAGAATAACTGCATTAGTGCATCCCTAGTTAATATTTTTAAATAATTAATTGTTAATTGTTTTAAAAACATCTGGATGTATTCTTAAATGCACAGAATATTACTGGATATTGAGTTATTATAGGTATATTAGGCATCAGAGATTGTTGATCCAGGGAATATCTGATTGCCTTATGGGATCAGGAAGGAATTTTTTTCCCATGTTGGAGCAAATTGAACCATGCTTTTATAGGGTTTTTTGCCTTCCTCTGGATGAACAGGGGGTAGCTGTGGGCACAGCATTCTGTTTAGGCTTTTCTTGTTTTTTTTTCCCACCGTATCTCTATAGGTTGAACTCGATGGACTCTTTTTTTCAACTCGACTAACTATGTAACTATGTAATATTATTAATATCAGTGGGTAGGGTTCCAATAGCCAGCCTGCTAATGGCTATTGCTATCTGAAATAGCCAATAGCAGCCTGGCTATTGAAACCCTGCCCACTAAGCAGAGGAAATACATTTAGTTGCTAATCAAATTTTTTAGTGTGCACCAAGCAACCGGCAATGTTTGTAGTGTGCATCAAGCCACCAGCATTATTAGTAGCTGTGAATGTCTCATGTTCTCTCAACATTCTTTTTCATTACATTTAAAAATAACTTCGAAAGATGTCATTCTGATGGTGTGCATTGCGTTTCTCTTTCCTGTTCATTGTGTAGGTATTGTGCCAGTGTGTGTATTGTGATGCTTATGTTCTTTTCAGGATAGGGTGTGGGCCAACGTAGGGAAGAGCCTTAACTGCATTATTGCCATGACAGATAGGCTACTTGAAAAAGAAGACAGCACAAAAGATGATGAAGTGGTTTCTTCAGATGAAGATCTCCTCATATCACACATAAATGGTAAGATATCTTCCTAACATCACAAGCTGTATTAAATGGAGCATGTTTATTTACAAGAAGAAGGTGGAGTAGAAAGCAATAGCTGTTCCAAGAGGCATTCATGGTATAGGCAGCATACGAGAAGACAGGTCTCAGATAGAAAATCATGTATTATAGTGTTCTTAGTCATAGTTTAATATGTGGTCAGTGTGTGTGTGTGTTTGTCTATGTATGTATGTGTATATATAAATGACAACATATGTACCTCTGTCACCGCACACAAGCTCATGATCAAGAGAACACCCCATTCCTGAAGGAAATAAAGACCGCCCAGGAAAGAATTGCATATTAAGTAGATAACTGCTATACTGTACAGTTCCAAATATCATGACTTCCAACATCTATTACTTCCCAACTACTTCTGCGGCACATGCTCTTTGTATTGTTCCAAACAAATTGGCTCCCTTGGAGAGACCCATGTCCTACACACAATATCACTGATTCTTCTCCTCATCCTTTCCTCCCATTCCAATCAGGCAGTAGTCCGAACAACCACACCCAGCATCCAGAGCTCTTTCATCATGATGTTCTATTGCCATCTCTCTCTTTTCTCCCTTGCTGTGCCACACACCCTAACTCCTGCCACCCTCAACTATTTGTACTCTGTATCAGGGAATACGGAGTGACAGCAGCGCTCCCTTGGTAACAACCTCTTGTCTTCCAAGTACCTGTAATAAGATAAAAACCTACTGTATGATTCAAAATGTCAGCAACTGTTCAAACCTTGAATTTCAGGTTTAGCAGAACTGAGCCTCACTTAAACATCAAAATATGTGTATAATAGCTACAATATTTTGGAGGTCAGGGATTCAGCTATTTTTTTGGATAAAAAATATATATAAGAGCAATTTATCTTTTGAGGAGTAAAAGTTCCATGAGGTGGCGTATGGAGGGTGATAAGTGGTGTAAGCCAAAGTCACGAGGGAAGGATAGATACAGACTTTCTCTTGTTTATTTAAAGGAGAACTATGAGGTGAGTGCTTTTCACTCACCTCATAGTTCTAGCCGACCTGTGACAATGAGACTGTCACAGGTCGGCTCAGTAGATCGGGAGGTGAGCGAACACATACCGGGTTCCCTCACCTCTCGATCCTGTCACGGCTCTCTGCCGTGACAGGGGGAGGGGCTAGATTCCCCTCTCCCCGCTCCGATCTGCCAGCGCTGACTGGCGGAACGGACGGGGGAGGGGGCGGGTACAGCTGGCTCTGCCTCTAGATAGGCAGAGCCAGCTGTCACTCACGCAGCTGGGCGGATCCGGTCATCTACGTCGGGATCCGCTCCGGCTGCGGCGTCTCAGTATACCGCAAGCTGCAGCTCGCGGTATACTGAGCTTAGGGTAACGGGAGGATGCTAGTTCTCCTTTAAATTACTGTAGTAACTTTTAAGCAGCAATGCAGAAGAAAGTAATGACATAATTCCGGTATATGATTCTGTAAACTTGTATCACTCACTCTTTGTATCTACAGCCCTCATTCACAGAGTGGTATATGTATATATATA